ATAGTGACCGAGAAATTTCATCTCAAAAATGAAAATTTTGAATTAAATGATGAAACTTTATTCAAATTTTAGAATTTTTGGAAACAAAAAACTTCTCAGTTAAAATTTGATAAATTTCACTTTTAAGAAATTAATAAAAATTTCATTTTAAAATTCTCAGTTCAATAGATAATTAAAACAAATAAAAAAAAGTACAAATAAATCCCAAATAGTGATCTTGTGAATTGTTTGGATTTTTTTTTTTTTTTATGGGCTCAAATGTCCCATTTTAGTGTGAATTTCATATAGGCCCAAAATTTGGGTTTTCTCATCATGTTGAAATTACTAAACGCAACATTTCAAAAAAAAAAAATTAGTATATTTTTTCCAAAACTAACACATCAATGTAGCCCTAAAAAACGGACACTTAGTATAATACACTAAAAAAAATTTTAATGTATTTTTTCCAAATGTAATACTTCAATCAATGTAACATACAAAAACTTTTCAGTATACTTTTTCCAAACGTAACACTCTAATGTAATACAATAAAAACTCATTAGTGTATTTTTTTCTAACCTAACACTCCAATGTAGCACACTAAAATATTTCTTAATATACTTTTCTCAAACATAACAACGTAGCATTTCAAAAAAACTCCTTAATATATTTTTTTCCAAACGTAATACTACAATGTAACATACTAAAAAACTCATTAGTATACTTTTTTTAAGCGTAACATTTCAAAACAACTCCTAAGTGTATTTTTTTCTAAACATAACACTTCAATCAGTGTAACACACAAAAATTTTTTAATGTACTTTTTTCAAATGTAGCACTTTAATGTACACTCAATCTAATATAACACCAGAAACCACACTAATAGAAATGTAGAATTCCACGCTCAACCAACATTTCAGCCACCAATCATTCCAAAAAGAATCTTTCACACCTTACTTTTCTATTCACATCCCAAAAATAAATCAAAAAATTAAAAAAATAAATCATAAAAAGGCATTAATTTAAACTCAAATGACCAAAATTATATAAATACAAATTTTAAAAATAAAAGACTAAGGCCCCGTTTGGGGACTTACTTTTTTAGCCAATTAGTCAAAAAGTTACTAGATTAGCCAAAAAACTAACAACTCATACCAAAAAGTCAAAGATTCTCTTTTATCTTTACTTTTTGCACATCTTTTCGTAATTAGCCAAAAAGTCATCCCAAATATACAAGTTTTTTTTACCTACCTTTTTAGTCAAATAACCAAAAAATTACTAAATTAACATGTTCCCAAACGAGACCTAATTCACAAAACAAAATCTTAAAATTAAATGAATTAACATTTCTACTATGAAATTTATAGATACATTTTCCATGACAAATTATTAGGCATTCATTTTTGGACGGTGGGTGGGGCAGCCACGTGAACTTCACCTGACACGACTGCAATATTCGCACTTCTCCATTTTACATGACATTACGTGACACGACTGCTTTATTCGCACTTCTCCATTTTACATGACATTGAAGTTGTTTTAGGAATTGTCTATTTTAATTTATTTTTTAATATATTTATAAAAGGATGTGTAAAAATATAAAATAAATAGTTGATTTTTGGGTAAATTACAAACACACTTTATGAGATTTTCTTAAAATTCAAATTGCCTCTTATGATTTAAAAAATTATGAATACCCCCTTGTCATAATTTTTTATTTAACAGAATTAACTGCAAAAAAGAAATTCATAATTTCTTTCCTATACAATAATAAAATTACCTAATTATTAATTGAAACATATTTCTAATATCATTAAAAACTGTTAATTGACTTGATAATTTATTAATAAAATGAGCGATTTGTTATGAAATTAGATACCTCAGGGGGTGGAATGTAATTTCTAGAACCACAGGGGACAATTCGTATTTTAATCAAACGTCAAAGGGTATATTTGTAATTTACCCTTGATTTTTTTGTAATAAATTTTTAATTTTTTTGACTATTTTAATGGGTTGCAAAAATAAGTTGATATAGATCTATGTGTTATGTGAGACATATGATAATGAAAAGTCTGTAAAAATATATTAAAATTTTTGTTATTCGGATTAAATTTTATATACATTTTATCGGATAAAATTAGCAAATTTTTAATCTTACAATTAATAATGCAATATATATATATATATATATACTTGAGATTATATATTTTCATATCTATTAAAAACAAACAGGTACAAGAGAAAATTATTTATCTCACTAATCCATTGAATTACTAACACTAATTTCATTTATTATTATGGTCATAAAATATTTATTATGCTAATCAAATAGAGTCTTCCAAAAAAAACGTGTGCTAAGTTGTAATGAATTATGTGGATATATTTATTTTAAATTTACAGACACTTTTTTTTTTTTTTTGGCGCAATTTTTGTGGTTTGTTTTTTGGATTCTCAAACTTTTTGCAATGAAAGCTAAGAGCAATTTCAATCATACTTTTTATTTTTCACTAGTTAAAATATAAAAAAATGTATGTCCTTTATTTTACTTAATTCTTTTTTTTTTCTATGCACTCCAATGACACAAACAAACAGTTTAAAGAGCCTCCTAAGACTTTTCAATTGTAGCCAGTCTTGAATTTTTTTGTTAATATAATTATTATAATAACTAACCCATTAAAATGACTAAAATATGATAATTCTAACTATAATAACTAACAAGTTTCATTCAAAGAATTCCTTAGAAATGCTCAAGATTTCATGAACTTTTCATGGAACTTGCTTAATCTAGAATGGTCAAAAATTACCCCAGTGAAGAATTTATTGTTGCGTGTTTTCTGTGTGTTCACATTGTCAAGGCGTCTTTATTTTTTTAATTAACAATGCTACAAATTCAAAATTTCATTTAGAAAAAAAAAAATCAGCAATTTATAATTATAATGGATATAGTTCACATTTCACTGACATTAAATTTACATTAAAAATTCATTTTCAAGGGATACATTTTCATAGCATTTTTATTTTAGTTATAAGGTGAAAATTCTAGTTGTTAAACATATCATTTTCAAATAATTTTTTCCCTTACTAAGATAAAAAATTACTAATTTGTTTTTCTATTAAAGTTTTTAAACATATCATTTTCAAATGATATTATGCTTAATTCATTTATGGTTTAGTCGATCTTAAGTAGAATTTTATTTATTATAATTTTAGAAAATTACTTTTTGATAACAATATGAACAACCTATATATTTAGGAAATAATATAGGCTTTTTATATAACTTAATAAATACATCAATTGAATTTTTTTAACAAATTGATAATTATACTCGTTAAGCCAACTACTAATTATATACGAAAACATACCAAGCACTCACAAGTCTTTTTGACTCCGAAACTTACAGATGTCCTAACATTTTCCCAGCTAATATAACAATTGTCCATCCAATGTATGTATATAAATCATTATAATGTGGAGGCTCTCTCGATGCAGGACTTGTGCTGCAGGATCATCTAAAGGTTAAGTCGCTACTACATATTAATTTAAAAGTCTCTCTCACGGACAAAAACAAGATTTTATTACCAGATGCGCTAAAAGAAAAATATTTTTTTTTCGCCATATATACAAATACACGTCTATATGTATAACATGATATATAAATTATGTATATAGAAAAAAAAAATTAAGCCTCCGTTTGGGAAGTGGGTTGGCTTTTTGGCTGTTTGGGAAGTGGGTGGGCTTTTTGGCTTTTTGACTTTTTTGACTATATGAGCCTAGGCTCAAAAGCTTAGTTTGAGAAGGGCTTTTAGCTTTTTGGCTTTTTTGATTTTTTTGTGAGAGAAGAGTATAATGATTATGGGGTTGGATGAGATGTTTTGTCTGTTGTGGCTCATGAGTCATTCTGTCTTTTATGGCTCATTGAGCCAAAAAAGCCCAATGAGCCATTGCCAAACGACCATAGATGCAATCTCTAATAGGATAAAAGAAGTTTTTTTGATGTAAAATAGAAAGAGAATGCAAGATGGCAGAAGAATAAGATATGTATTTTTTTTAGTTTGGCGGGCCATTATATATATACCAAACTCAAATAAGTTGGGAATGGGGTTGGTGATGTGCCTTATAGGCATAGCACTGTGTTGTGAGCCAGTGAAGGCACGTTTTAAATTTATTTTAATAATTCGAAATATTCATAGTGTAGGGTTCGTTGAGTAGATCATCTATAAAAAAATTCAAGTTAATTAGACATCTGTAATTTACAACAGGACTACGTTTATGTTTAAAAAAATAAACGAATAGTATGATTTTAATAATTTTTTAGGGTTATTATTCGCCTTGATCATGTGATTATATTTGTTCGATTAATTTCATTTTTTACAAGGATAATATACTCAACAAATCTTATAATATGAACGGTTCAGATTATCAAAATATGATCAGAATAAACCATACAAGGTGTGACGGCATGGGTGCTATCACAGCACCCACCCCCAATCCAAATAAATTACTAAATATTTAGTAATTTATTTAAGTTTGGTATATATAATTTAAAAGTCTCTCTCATAGACAAAACCAAGATTTTATTACCGGATACGCTAAAAGAAAAATAATTTTTTTTTTCACCATATATACAAAACGTGTATATGTACAATATGATATATAAATTATGTATACAGAAAAAAAAATTAAAAACCATAGATGCAATCTTTAATAAGATGAAGAAGTTTTTTTGGGTGCAAAATAGAAAAAGAATGCAAGATGAGAGAAGAATAAGATATGTATTTTTTATTTTGGTGGGCCATTTAATGTAAATGCAAGATGCAATCTTTTTTTTTTTTTTTGTGCCCATAATTGATACTTTGGATTCGCAATAAAAAAATATACGCACAAATATGTGGAAATGTCCTGAATACATTTTATCAATAAAATTTCTATCTTTTGTTGACAAATAAAATAAAATCAAATCAAATAAAAACAAACAAACAAAGGAACGCATAATAGGCCCAATCATTATAAGTATAGTGGTTGTTGTTCTTTCATTCGTTCGTTCGTTCGTTCATTCTCTCTCTCTCATGTGTTGTTTTTTGATGACCGAGTGTCCGGGCCAGCACTCCTTCGGAGTGTCGCACCTCGACTAATCTCGGGGCCCTGAGCCGATCGACCAGGCAAAGACGCAGTGGCCCGCCAGGAGCACAGCTGGGAGTGGGATTCGAACCTGAGACCTAGAGAGGAGCAAACTCCTAGGCCCCAAGTCCCTTGGCCTCAACCAACTGGGCTACCCTTGCGGGTTCTCTCTCATGTGTTGTTGATAGATCATACGGATTACTATTTTTTTCCTACTCAGATCCCTTAATTTGATACTTCCGTTTTTTTTACTTGTATCAGATCTTCTATTTTCCATGAATGTAGTTATTTATTTATGTGTTCATTTGTCTCCCCCAATATTTTATACGAATAAATGAAATAATCCTGTTTTGCCCACACAAAGGCCAAAAAACATAGAATATTGGTCTCATGTGCATGCAAATGCAGTAAGGTTTTGTGGCTGACAACGTTTCCTCATCTTGGTGATTTCCGTTCAGGCTAAAAAACTTTATTGCATTGCAGGTGATTTTAGTGTACCCAAAATCCACCAATATTTTTATTTTTAGTTTTTTTTTTTTTTTTTTTGAAATTCATCATGATTTCATGCATTATTCATGGTCTTTTTTTTGATAATCTTTGTTTGTACCTTGTAGGTATGAATTCAAATGGCCAAACACCATTTTCTGTTGATGGCAGTCCAGTTCGGCAAACCCAACCACCTGCACCGCCACAGCAACCATCTGTTGACACAAACACAGACACAAGAACTGGTAACACTCAAAACCAGCATCCTTCAACATCTCACGACTGTCAGATTCGGACTCGGACTCGGACTCAGACTCAGACTCAGACTCAGACTCAAACTCGGGTTAAGACTCGATCTTGGTTTCCGAGTCTGAAAGAGAAGACTAGCAGTGGCGACAACTTACATAAGCTGTCGGAGACGCTCCTAGTCACAAATTTCAGTGCAGCCATAGCTATGGTGATTTTCAGATCAGAGGGATCGCCGTTGCAGTATGCTTTGAATTCAAAGCCACCACATGGACTATCATTTGGTATTCTTGTGGCTTGTATTGCAATTGGTTTCACTTGTAATATGCAAGTGATCTTATTGCAAAAGAAATCGCCAATCGTTGCAAGCATAGGGGAGTATGCTGGCGTGTTTTCGTCTGTCATTGGGTTCTTGGCCATGATACAAATGATTCTACCTCTTACCCTCTGGTGGATTGTTTGGCCTGCTGGTATTTCTATCTTCCTATCATCTCTCTATGCCCTTAGAAAGAACAGGTAATTTTTTTATATTATATTTTTTGTTAATTGTTCGGTTTTCTTAACTCAATTACAGTTTTTTTTTTTTTTTTTTTTTTTTCAATTACAGTTTTTTCTTTTTTTTTCTTCAAAGCAAAACACAGACCGATCCACCAACCAAATCAGTGAAAAAGCTCTTTATTTTTACTTGGCTTGAAGGCTTATACAAATCAAATCAGTGGGGAAAAAAAAAACGACAGGACTGAAATTACCCAGTCGAAAAGAAAGGAGCAAGTGTGGCTTTCAAGCTTGTCTCTTTTTCTTTTGTCAATTTTTTTTTTTTTTTTCATTTTTAAAATTTTTAAATGCGCCTAAGAAATAAATATTTGTCAAAATTTTGAAAATAATTAACTAGAAACGGCAAAAAATAAAATATAAAGAAAACACTACAGAATATAAAGATTTTAAGGCCAGAACTTTTTATTTCCTAAAAGTGAAAATCTTGGTATAAAAAATATGGAGTTTTCTTAAGTGTGCAAGTGCACACCATGTGCCACTTACACAAAAAGTGTAAGTGTAAGGTGTAAGTATAAGTATAAGGTGTAAGTGTAAGGTGTAAGTGTAAGGTGTAAGGTGTAAGTGGGTTGCACATGGTGTGCAACCTCAAAAAATGTGTAAGTGTAAGGTTTAATTTTTTACAAAATGTGTAAGTGTAAGGTGTAAGTGTAAGGTATAAGGTGTAAGGTGTAAGTTGCACACCATAACCAAACCCAAAAAATATTAAGAGATCAATTTTAACTGTTATGAAATAATCACAAAGTGGTTTCAAAAAGTCAAAAAAAAAATCTTTAATGTCAAAATTTTAAAAATATCACTAATAAATAAATTTTAAGAAACAAAATTATTTCTTGTGAAAAGGTTTTAAAACAATTAAACTAAATAGACTGCTGTTTAACTATCATGAAGTAGTCACAAAGTGGTTGTTTCAAAAAGTGAAAGAAAAAAAAAATTTAATGATAAAATTTAAAAATTGTCGCTAATTTAAGAGGCAAAATTATTCCATCTGAAAAGGTGTAAAAACAATTGAACCAAATAGACTGCTCTTGCTCATATTTGATTAGAGTAAAAAATATGATAGAAAGTGAATGTGATTTTTTTTAATGTAAGAATTGTCCATTTAAAAGATGAAAAAGTGTGAAATGTCTAGATTCAAATTTGTTCACCATTCTAAGATGTCATACACACTTTCTAATATGTTTGGTTTAGTTAAATTAAATGGTTTTTGGTTTAATTCTATTTAAATTTAAAGTTAGACTCCATTTTCAAATTTAATAATGTGACAATCAATTAGAATGTTTAAGATAACTTTTTTTCTTATATCTTCTCTAATTATTAACTAATTATTTCTTTACACATCATTAAATCTAGAAAGTTTCTTTTAACATTTATTGGTTTTCTATGATTCACTTTTGTTGGTATTGGTACGAGCTAACTTCATTAATTTAATTCTTTGTTTGCATAGAACATTATGTTATACATCTAAATTATTCTAATAGGCCCGGATAAACCTACAGTGTAGATCTCTAAAAAGATATATACGATACAAAAATTATGATACCAAAAGTGAATTTATAATGTGGATTCTAAAGGTATATTTTACAAACTACTTCAGCTTTTAGTACCATGTTACCGTTATATACATCATGAAATTCATTTTATTTTTATTTATTCATTTATTTATTTTTGACCTTACAAATTGCTCTGTTTTGTGTTGTTGGACTTCTAAGTGTGTATTGGTAGACTATGGTTGTCTAATCAAACGTAATTCTCCTCACATAAAGTCTCCGACCCCAATTCAAAAAATAAAAAATATATATAATAATTGAATTAGGAAATGCTTAATTTTATAAAACTTTCTAAGAAATGCGCTGACTCAAAATTTTCTTATAACTACATAAATATTCAAATCCAATTTAAAGTATAATTTTTTATTTAAACAGTCTTTTTTTTTTTATGCTTGTCCAAACAAATGACACAACGAATTTTTTACTTAGATACTTATTATAGGTTTTTGAATTGTGAAGGGATGATACAGAAGATGAGAATGCTATGTTCTATTGGGGGGGAGAGATTATGTCTGATCACAAAAGTGTGTCTTACAACGGCCATGTGAAGAAGTTCTGTAAGGTGAAAAAGGGGACAACACTGCACGAGTTGGAGGCGATGATCATGCCCAAGGTGGGCCCGATTGGAGAAAACGTGCAACTGAAGTTCAAATGTAGGTTCCCATCTTGGGAGTCCATAAACAAAGTGGAGTATGCGTTGGTATCAATCGACAACGATGAGGATTTGGCTTTCGTCTTGAATCAACCGAAAAACCCATGGTCAAAATATAGTTTGCAATTTTATGTGGACTGGGACAAGAGCATGATGGCCAACATAACCCCGTTTGTGTAGTGAACTCAAGAATATTTTCCAACTACTCTTTAATTATATGGGTAAGTTATATTGATGTTCTTTATGTTGTGTTTGGTTAGAGGATTTGGGAAGGGATTTGGAAAGGGAAAAAGAAAAGATGTGTGAAAATATGTGAAATTTAGATATATTTTATCCTCATTTCACCTACCTTTTTCATTTCCCTTTTCAAATCCCTACTCAAATTCCCCAACCAAACACAGCATTAGAATTTTCATAATTTCAGGATCCGCTCTCTTGTTGATGTGAATCATGTTAGAAAACTTAACCAAGGGGTTGTTACCATGTGTGATTAGCACTTTCTGTTGTGCTTAGGAGGCAGAAAACAATCACACAAGCAAGAACACACAAAGATTTACGTGGTTCGGCAAGTCGCCTACGTCCACGGACAGCGGATTTCACTATATATATAACAAAGAATTAAACACTCTATAATTCTCTCTCTCTGCTCTGTATTCTCTCTTCAACTCACCACACTGAATTCCTCCAATTCACTACCTATTTATAGATGGAATGGGAGAACCAAGCTCTTCAATCAACAGCCTTTGTTGACAAACAAAGCAGCCATTATTGACAACACCATTGTTGACAGCAACCATTGTTGATATCAAATTTGAGCCAATCTTCAACAAATCTCCACCTTGGCGAGGATTCTCTATCCAACATAGTGATCGATCAACACTGCCATTCACCCGAAGGTGCTCAGTTCCGAGAGATGTTAACCAAGTTCAAACAGTGTTGAAACTTGATCCCAGAAACCACTTTTGTGAGCATATCGGCCGGATTATCTGCAGCGCTAATCTTTTGAAGCAGAATATCCCCTTCATTCACAATTTCTCGGACGAAATGGAAACGGACATCAATGTGCTTGGTGCGGGAATGATGAACTTGGTTCTTTGAAAAACAAATGGCACTCTGACTATCACAGTACACCTCAACGTGCTTCTGAACATTACCCAAGTCCTCAATTAACCCATGTAGCCAAATAGCTTTCTTAAAGGCTTCCGTCACTGCCATGTACTCTGCCTCTGTAGTAGACAAAGCCACCGTTGACTGAAGCGTTGACCTCCAACTCACAGGCCTTTTAGCAAGCGTAAATACATACCCTGTTGTTGATCGGCGTTTGTCCAAGTCACCAGCATAATCTAAGTCCACATATCCAACCAAATTCTGTCTGAGTCGGTTATCTTTCTCGAACTTCAATCCCAGATTAACTGTGCCATGTATGTACCTTAGGATCCATTTCACTGCCTGCCAGTGATCTTTTCTTGGATCATGCATATACCTGCTTACCATACTCACAGCATGTGAGATGTCAGGCCTTGTACAAACCATAGCATACATTAATGCACCAACTGCATTTGCATATGGAACTTGTGCCATATGCTTCCGTTCTTCTTCTGTGCGTGGAGACATCAAAGCACTGAGCTTGAAATGAGGGGCCAATGGTGTACTCACAGCTTTTGTTTTTCCATTTATGCCAAATCTGTCTAACACTTTTTTCAAATATTGAGTTTGTGTCAGATAACCGTGCCCTTCTTCCTGTCTCTCTTGATCTCCATGCCAAGAATTTTCTTTGCTTCTCCCAAATCCTTCATTTCAAACTCTCTTGCTAACTGTGCCTTGAGTTTGTCAATCTCCTCATTGCTCTTTGATGCAATTAACATATCATCTGCATATAAGAGCAAATAGATGAAGGACCCATCTAGAAGCTTACGAAAATATACACAATGGTCAAATTGACTTCTTGTGTATTCTTTCTCTATCATGAACCGATCAAATCTTTTGTACCACTATCTCGGGGATTGCTTCAATCCGTACAATGATTTGTTCATCTTACAGGCCCAATTCTCTTTTCCAGCAACTTTGAAACCATCTGGTTGGGACATGTATATCTTCTCTTCAAGATCTCCATGTAAAAAGGCAGTTTTGACATCGAGTTGGGCGATCTCGAGATCAAACTGTGCAACCAAAGCTAGCAAGATACGAATAGACGTGTGCTTCACAACAGGTGAAAATACCTCATTGTAGTCTATTCATTCCTTTTGGGCATAGCCTTTAGATACCAATCTAGCTTTGAATCTGATGTTGTCTTTGCCTGGGATGCCTTCTTTCTTGGTGTAAACCCACTTACACCCAATTGCTTTCTTGCCTCTTGGAAGTTGCACCAACTCCCAAGTCTGGTTCTTGTGAAGTGACCCGATCTCTTCATCCATAGCCTCCTTCTAATTGACACTTTCTGCATGCTGCACGGCTTCTTTGAAAGTGCAGGGAAAATTGTCTTCAATGATTGGAAGTGTATAGGCTACCATATCGGTCATCCAACCGGGTTGCTTAGTAACCCTTTTTCCTTTCCTGATTGCAATGGGTTCTGATTGTTGTGGGGTCTCTGGATCTTCATTTTCATATGAACTCTCTTCAGAGCTATCCATTAAGACTTCTTCAGGATGGTTGATTGGCTGACTAGTCTTTGCTGGAGTCTCAAACCCCACCTGCACTGACTTCTTCAATGCTTCATCATTTTCTTGAGGATTTGGTTGCGTCAGCATTGTAGACTCATCAAAGGTAACGTCTATTCTAGTGACAACTTTCCTTGATTCAGGGCACCAGAGTCTGTATCCCTTAACACTGTCACTGAAGCCCAAGAAGATGGCTTTCTTGGCTCTTGGATCCAACTTAGATTCTGTAACATGAAAATAATCTGGACATCCAAAGATACGTAGCTGATCATAATCAGTAGCTGGCACTCCAGACCATACCTCCATGGGAGTCTTGCCATCTAGTGCTACAATAGGTAGTCGGTTAACAAGATGACGAGCATAGTTCAATGCCTCGCCCCAAAATGCCTTGCTCAATCCAGAATGTGACAGCATACACCGGACTTTCTCCACCAAAGTGCGGTTCATGTGTTCAGCAACTCCATTTTGCTGCGGTGTTCCAGGAACTGTGAAATGTCTCACTATCCCATCATTCTGGCAAACCTCAAAGAAGGGATCTGATGTGTATTCCCTGCCATTGTCAGATCTGAGCTTCTTGATCTTTCTTCCTGTCTGGGTCTCAATCATTTTCTTCCACATAAGAAAGATTTCTAATACTTCATCTTTATGCTTCATTGTGTAAACCTAAACTCTTCTTGAGAAATCATCAATGAACGACACAAAGTAGTGTTTGCCTCCCAATGAAGCATTCTTGGAAGGACCCCATACATCGGTGTGAACATAGTCTAGAATCCCTTTGGTACGATGAATAGCAATACCAAACTTGATTCTTGTTTGCTTGCCCAGTACACAATGCTCGCAGAACTCAAGCTTCCCTGTTTTGGCGCCTTTCAACAGGCCTTGCTTTACCAACCCTTGTAAAGCCTTCTTACCGACATGCCCTACGCGCATGTGCCAAAGTCTGGAAGTGTCTGATACATCATCTTCTGAGCTGGTGGAGACAGCCACTCTCCCTGTGACTGTAGAGCCGTCTAGGAAATATAAATTTCCCTTTCGAGTACCCTTAATTGCAACAAATGCTCCTCGAACAACTTTGAGGACTCCACCTTCCATAGTTACTCTGTAACCTTTGGAGTCTAAAACTCCCACTGAGATGAGATTCTTTGTCAATTCTAGTACATACCGAACATTTTCAAGAATTTTGATTGTTCCATCATGTCTCTTCAGTCGAATTGTTCCAATCCCCTTTGTCTGGCAAGCTTGGTCGTTGCCCATTAGCACAACTCCTCCATCAAACTCTCCTAAGCTCGAGAACCACTGCTTATTAGGACACATGTGGTAGGAACATCCGGAATCTAGTATCCATTCATCAGATTGGCCATATAATGAAACTGTGAAGGCTAATCCTTCACCATTATCTCCATCTCGTGCAACGTTGACCTTTTCCTCTTTTTGGTCTTTATTAGGGCAATCTTTTTCCCAATGCCCCTTCCGGCGACAAGCAGCACACTCGTCTTTTGCAAGACGTCTTCTATCTGATGATTTCCCTCTGGATTTTGAGCGAGACTTTCCTCGCCCTGTATATCTTCTGTTATTTGTCCTTTCTCTGACTGTCAATGCCTCGGATGCTGAGTCCATGTTTGCAGATTTATCTTTCCTTCTGAACTCATTATTTACCAAGATGTTTGCAACATCAACATACTTGATCTTTTCTTTACCGTACAGTAAAGTGGTGGTGAGATGATCATATGAGTCAGGTAAGAAATTCAACAGTAACAGTGCTTTATCTTCATCATCAATGTGATCATCCAAGTTTTTCAAATCGGTAAGAATTTTGTTGAAATTGTTTAGGTGTTCGTTCATCGAAATACCTTTCTTATAGTCGAAACGAAACAACCTCTTCTTCAAGTAGAGCCGGTTCTCAATGCTCTTTGTCATGAACTTATCTTCCAGCACCTTCCAAAGCTCCTTCGCAATATCATATTCTGTGAAGGCGTACTTCTCCTCTTTTGTAAGGCAAAGTTGGATGGAACTACAGGCCAGGAGATTCACTTTCTCCCATTCCATCCCGTCCAGGTCATTTGGTTTGTCTCCCAGAGTGAAGTGCAGGTTCATCTGGACAAGCATATCTTTAACTTCGCATCTCTACATGCCGAAGTTGCTGCTTCCATCAAACTTTTCTACCTCGAACTTAGCATGGGACACCGAGGTCCAATGCCTAGAGTTGCTTGTAGTCACTGGATTACTTATGGACTCGGTTGATTTGGTCTCTGTAGATTCTTCCATTAAGAATTTTGTTTTTAGAAACTCCGATTCAAAAAATTGACCGTACAGATGTGTCCAGAATACTCCAAATAGTTGGAAAGTACTATTGGATCGTCAAAAACGGACTCCGAATGACTCAGATCAAGCCAAAACAATGTGGACGGTTCAGATCTGCAGGTGTACCTTAGCTGCGCAACAGCGGGTAACTCTCTGCCCCTATGTTGACTGGTTAACGGAAGGTTGACGTGGCTAACATGTGGCTGCCACGTGTCTGGCTGACTGACACGTGTCACCGACGTGGCAGATCACGTGTCACTGACGTGGCGCTGATTGATCGATAACGTGGCGTTGACGAGTCGATGACGTGGCGCTGACGCGTCGCTGACGTGTCTCATCTTCTTCCTGCAGACAGGCGTGTGGCGCGTGGAAGCACGTAGTATGACGCGCCGACAGTCAACCGGCGCGTGGTGGCGCATGGTGAGAGTGGATTTAACGCGCTTCCTTTGTGTGGCGCGTGAGGGCGCGTAGGAGGGCTTCTGGGCTTCTCTTTGCAGTTCTGGACTCCTCTCTTGGATTTCTTGCTCCTGGTGTGCTCAAAAGTTGATTTCGAGCACTTCGAAATCTGGGCACTTTCGGAAAAAATTTGATTTTTCACCACCCGGGCTCTTATACCAATTTGTTGTGCTTAGGAGGCAGAAAACAATCACACAAGCAAGAACACACAAAGATTTACGTGGTTCAGCAAGTCGCCTACGTCCACGGGCAGCGGATATCACTATATATAGAACAAAGAATTACACACTCTATAATTCTCTCTCTTTGCTCTGTATTCTCTCTTCAACTCACCACACTGAATTCCTCCAATTCACTACCTATTTATAAATGGAATGGGAGAACCAAGCTCTTCAATCAGCAGCTTTTGTTGACAAACAAAGCAGCCATTGTTGACAGCAACCATTATTGACATCAAATCTGAGCCAATCTTCAACACTTTCACCACTAAGTCTCTCTTAATGAGAGACCTTGGATTTCACTCTTAGAAATAGAATTGGGTGTTAAATTTTTTTTTTTTTTTGATCAGCAAAAAGAAACTTTATTGATGAAAAAAGCAAGATACAAGCGAAACTTATATCAACAAAGAAGGGAAGTGCAAAAAGCATCATAACTAACCAAATCAATCCCAACTAGGTTGGCACCGATGAGATAGCACAATCCTATGCTAACACTAAACCCAAGATCGGTGAGGAACCAATCAAAAGAAACAAAAAGAGAGGAAAGGAAAAAAAACAACAAATAACCAGAGCACACCCACAGCCAGGCCAATAGCAACATCAGATCCTAAATTGAGAGATCAGCAGCACACCACAAACACTCCCAGATCCCAGACACACCAGCAAAATCAGCAGCCATCTGGACTACACTAACATATAGTAACACCATCTGGACTACAGCAGAAACAACAACAACTTCAGTAACTTCACACCACAGCATTGCAGCAACAACACTTCCATAACACCAGCAAGATCCAAGCTCCAAACCTCTCAGCTACTCCAGCTTCTCCAACATAAGTAACCCAGCAAACTACAGACCCCTTCAAATCCCTTCAACTACTATGACACCCTGAACTGTAACCACACCAGTAACACCCCAACAACAGGACCCAGCAGCACTTTTATCACAAACACTGTCTAACCTGATGTAAATTAATCACTATATCTTGAACTGAGTACTGCAACCCTGCGATATTACTCTTTGCCCAAAAAGCTATCCTAGACTTCACTAAATCTACCAGCTCAACAAAATTCGGAAGTCTCCCAATGAACACCTCCTCATTCCTCAGCTTCCACACTGACCACAACATTACAAGTGGCATCAAGTTCCAGATTTTCCTCTCCTTCTTCTTGAGTTTCAAGCCAACCCACCATTGTAACAAAGCTTCAATTGTACATGGTACTACCCAACACATATCCCACCAGTTTACTAATTCAGACCATACCCTCCATACCGGCGGACAATGAAGTAAAACATGACTAATCGATTCAACTGCATTTCTGCATAATGGACATAAGACACTAACCTGATCATCCAACACACCAATCCTATATAAAAATTCAACAGTCTCAGTCTTTACTCTTCTCCTCCAGGCTAACCACCCAAAGAATTGCACTTTTGGTGGAGCCACAGACTTCCACAGCCTTTTAGCAACACACAGATCAGGTCCCCTATCAACTTGAAGCCACTTCCACACAGATGCCACTGTGATCTGGCCTGAAGAATTCACCCCCCAATGCAAACAATCAACCAAATTCCCATTCTTGACAGGGCCATCATTCAACCAATCTCTCAACCTGCTTACCTCTTCTTCTTCCCAAGCTCTTAATTGTCTTCGAAACCTTAAACTCCACTGACCTGACCCTGCTCTTTGCTACCTATGCTGCATGACCAAACCCTTCTTGTCCACTAATAACTGAAACAATCTTGGGAATTCCTCCCTTAGCACTCTATTGTTGCACCACTTATCAATCCAAAATTTAATTCTTTTTCCATTCCCAGTCCTTACTTTTGCATTTTCCAAATAGAACTCTACCATCAGTGGGTTATCTTTAGCAATACTCAAAATACTCTGCCAAATTGGAGAAACTCTACCTTCTACCCTTCTCACAGGCCACCACCCTCCACCCTCCTTACCATATATACTGCACACTACTGCCTTCCATAATGCATCATCCTCAACACCATATCTCCACCACCACTTCAAAAGAAAGCTAGCATTCATATCACTGATGCTCCTCACCCCTAAACCACCTTGACTCTTGGACTTAGAAATCTCCTTCCATCCTACTAAATGAACCTTCCTCCTAATCTCACTCCCTTCCTCTCCCCCATAAAAAAAAAAAAAAAACCAAGCCTGCAATTGCTCAATTGATTTCACCACTCCCTTAAATTGGGTGTTAAATTTAGCTTAATGTCTAAATAAATTTTTTCAGTATGTTTTACATAATAGAAATAGGCGAATGATTTAAATTAAAAACAAATCAAGTAAGTTTAAATTGACAAAATACTTAACAGAAATAGGAGCTTTTTTTTTTGTGTGGTAATTTTCCCTATTTGGTTTTACTCTTTAAATTTTAACGATATTATTGTCCATGCATTGTATCACACCAACCATTTTTTATTTTTTATGCAGATGTGAAGATTTTGCTGCAATGAGGACATGTAGATGCATATCGCAGGAAACTCCAAGAGTTGGGCGAATGGTCGAAGTTTGAGATTTGGAAGTGCATTATTTTCATAATTTCAGGTTTGAAATCTCTTAAATGCAAATAATATATTGGGGTTAGTCCGAGTACGAGACTTTGCCTCAAAAAGATACATATAACACATGAGTGGATTGATCTTCACAAATAATTTATTTTACTTGTTTGTTTTTTCTTCTATTGGTTGGAACAAAATGCAAAAAACTTCAAATATTCACTAATATTATTTTTGTTCTACTTCTTTTATGAGTCAATTGAATATATATCTAGATTTTTATTATATTTGAGTAACAAGTCCACTAATATAGAACACCTACAAAAGCAACTTTTTTTTAACGTTTTTATTTTTAGTATTTTTTTTTTTGTTGAAAATTATATCAAAATTTTTTACTTTTCCCGTCCGTCTTGTGTAAACGAATCTAGAAAGTAAGTTTTTTTGAAAAATTCTAACAAAAATTGAAAATTCCAAAATAAATTTTTTTTTAAAAAAAAGTTTACTATTTTTTTTGCTTTTATTTTCATCTCTTTTGGACTTATTTTGGATTTTTTCAAATTTTTTTTTTTAAAAAAAATTCAATTCATCTTGTCGAGCTAAATCTAAAAGTCTAAAACTTTTTGAATTTTTTTTTTTTAAAAAAAATTTACTAAAGACAAAAATAAGCCCAAAAAAAGATACCAAATAAATAAATCCCAAACACCCGTTGATAAATGAAATAATCCAACAATTCATTTTATATGGTATCAAATGATTGTTACTATTGTGAAGCCAGTCATCACAAGAAGCCAATCTTCACAAACTCTCTTAATCATGAAAAGTTATTTAGTGGTCTTGAAACATTGTTAGATGTGTTTCAAGAGTCTTGTGATTAATAGAGAAGATAGAGTCCATGATTATATGTTGGGTCACAAGGGAACAACAACCGGCATAACATTTGGTGATTGGTGGGAAGTATTGTCAAGTGGTGTGTCTAGACCACCTAATAAATTTTCCTTCATAACCCTTGCTTTATGCAATGTCGAAAAGTTGTCACTAATTGTGAGAATGGTTGCACCTCCAAATTTGTTTAACACTTCTTATATTATACTAATATTTAACAATATGATTTCAAAATTAGAATATTTCACACCCTATAATCATAGTAGTTCGCACCACCAAATTATAAAGTTTGGTACACATAACAAGAATTTAAAAATAATTTTCAAATTAAGTTTTATCTAATATTGATCCCTTATATTTGTTATTTGTGCTATTTGTTATATTTGTTTATTATTTAGAATTATTTATATTATTACATTTATCTTTATTTGTTGCCATTATTGTTTTCTAACCACGTGTTATTTATTTATTTATTTATTTTTCTTTCTTATACTTTAATTTGCTTACACCACTTATTTCACATTCATTCTTTGGAAATAAGAATATTGTCACATTTGAAATGACACTCTTAAAAATGAGCTCAGAAAATTATTGAAGCATCTTCTTTTAATTCGTAAATTGATTTGTCTTGTGCTAATTTTTACTTGTTTTAACTATGCATAGCAACACACAATTCAACTATGAAATTAGTCAAAACTAAATTGCATAACAGTAATGATAGAGATCCCTACAAAACACAATTCCCACAGCTCTCAAAATGATTTGAATCATGTCACTGTCAGACACAACTCCTAAATAAATTCAAATACATCAATGACTAATACATTAGTGGGAGTCATGAGGGTCCTCTTTTGTGGGAGTCCCAAACATTTTCCATTGCCTAATAGGATTAAAGATGATTTGATCACATTTATTCAAAAAGATATAAATTGAGGTTTTGATGTTGATCATATCATAGTATATATGTAGTAGACAGAGACATATAATAAGTTAGTGTAGACAAAAAAATTTGTTCATTTATATATTTTTACTTGATTATGTTGACAATAAATGTTTAATTAATAGTAATATAATTTACTTTTTTTTTTATTGTTGATAAAAATTAATATTATTTTTACTTTTTGTTTGCACTCTAGAATGAATCTTGAATCCATCTCAAATTAAGGCCTCATTTGGCAAGTAGTGATTTTAGTCAAAAAGTCAAAAAGTCACTACAAAAATCAAAAAGTCAACAACTTATACCAAAAAGTTAAAGATTCTATTTTCTCTCTATTTTTGCACATTTTTTTTTATAAAAAATTAAAAAGTCATCCCAAATATACTAGTTTTTTTACATCATATTTTAGTTAAAAAGTTAAAAAATTACTAAAAAATCATATTCTCAAACGAGACCTAAACGTCCAATACTCCGGCCACAACAAGAATTTGTCATTAAATTTGCCACAATTTAGTGACAACAAAAAAGTTGAAGCTCAAAAGCCGGTGGAAATGGAATGAAGATGATCAAATGTAGGAGTGAATTTTCTTAAAATGATCAATAATTAAAACGGTAAATTATATAAATGATCTCTGTAGTTTATACAATGTGTTAATTGGGTTCATGTTATTTTAATTTGCTTAATTTTGTCACTTAATCTAACAGTCTTTGAGTCATATTGATCTAATAAATGACGGTCGTTAGGTTTTGTGGACGAAAACTCAAACGATGTGTCAATTTGATTCTTATAGTTTACACGATGTGTCAATTTAGTCTCTATTGTTTTAATTCGCTCGATTTTTACAGAGACCAAATTGACAGATTAAACTTGTTCTAAAGTTTTAACATGAAGATTGACTTTAAATGTAGATTGCATAAAAGTAGTATGATAAATTTCTTCAATTTGTAATTGTGGTATATTCCAACATAAATTAATTTTATCATTATGTATTTTTGCTTCTTCTTCATTTATCACTATACCTGGATTAGGTATGGGAGCTAGAGTTGTGGATCTAGAGCTGACTGAAGAGTTATTTTTGAATAATCGACTCATGGTTCTGACTAAGTAAATGACTTACAGGAATCTTAATACATTGTCTAAACTTATCGTGGTTTCACATACCATGTGTTCACACATACCCTCTCCGAGAGACCCCTAATTGTCCTACACTGCCTAACACTAAGGACTTACTCTGGACAAGGGACGAATGTTGGGTGGCTACTAGCTAGGTGGAAAGACACAGATAACGTTAATGACAGATTAAAATGATTGAAGGCAATTACAAAGCAGAATAGAGATAGATTAAGTAGAGTTAACAATTCAATAAGCAACTGAAATTAACAGAAACTTGGCTCTGATACCAAAAGGAGATGGAAGCACATACAAGAAGAATCACAGCAGTAATTAAAACATTTCATTAAAACATAATAATCAAACATTTTGAATAGAACATTTTGACTTACAATTACAGAAGAACAGCTGAAGGTGAGGGAAGGGAAAACTTGATTTTAAACTTGATGACTAATGATGAAAACATTACAATTTATAAGAAAAGAAAATAACTATGCTGCTTGTGACTAGGTGATGGCTGGTAGCAGCTGGCAGCACATGGGAAGAAGCAAGCTGTCAATTACTTTCGGCTGATTGACTAAAAGTTGATGTTGCTTTTGACTTTGTCTTCAGAGGAATAATGAACAGTAAAATTGACTTTTACTATTCATTACTTTCGGTGGAGGCAAGCATGTGACTGAGGAATCAATATAAATACAAATCAACAACTTATCGAGCGAATTAAAACAATAGAAATTGGCACATCGTGTAAACTACAGAGACCAAATTGACACATCATTTGAGTTTCTGTCCACCAAACTGTTAGCTATATATTTTGTAAAAGCCAGTTACAATCCGACACGTGGCAGAATAAGGGTATTATTGGAAAATAATTTAAGTCTCCAGTCCTGATCGTACACGTGGTGATGATAATTGGTTCTCACATGGTCTGAGCAACATTGGATCAGTAAAGAAACGCAAGGTGACGTGGCTTCAACGGTTACTCATATTCAAATTCAAATACAGGAGGGAAGCCTAACTGCAAATGGTGGCATAATGGAGCTACTTCTAAGGCAACATGATCAGCGATCATGGAGGAGCAGTTCGACGGTTCGAAGAGCAGTTCGAAGGTCATCTTTGACAAGTATAAATAGCAGAGAGACCCCCAGGAAAAAAGGACGGAACTCAGATCATACATACCAGTCTTTATTTCATATTTTACTTTCCAGTTTTACATTCCTGTACTTTCAATACCTGCACTTTACATATCTGCACTGCACTTCAATTCATAGGAGTAGTCTCAAGTAGATTCAAGTGGACTGTTGCTGTAAACCTCTTCGAGGCTGAGTTTGGACTATTGTAAGTTTTTCATTTTTATGAAATACTTCCATTGTTCTTCATATTAATTGTTATTTCTCTTAATTTCTCCTAAGTCAAGCCACCAGTAAAAGTCCTCTTCATTGAGGCTGAAAGAACTAAAACACAATCGTCTGGTAATTGGTTGGCAATCACAATTTCTGTAAGGACTAATTGATCCTTGCTGGCACGCTCACATTTACAAAAATACCCTTCGAAAAGCCAAAAAGCCAACATTCCCTTGACATGTACTATTTGTTTGGTATAAAACCTCAAGGAGTGCCACTGTACTATCTGTTTGGTATAAGCCTCAACATATACCTTTTTGGTACGAACCCTCACAGGTGTCCTAGTTGCCATGGCACCTACTTTCTCAATTCGGTTTCCCAAGACATCTACTCTCAAGGCTTATGATCTGCTATTAGCCATACTAGTGTCTACCTCAACGTCTCCTTCATCCATAACTACCTAACCATAAACTCCCCAACTTCCTATGACGCGAGCCACAGCAAGAGTTGTGCCTCGTACCAAGCCCAAGGAGGCTTCCTTGGTCCTACTTGTGCAACCAATGCAAGTTCTTGACCTAAGTATATGAAAAGAAAGTCCATTGTTATCCTGCTCCCATCTTCACGGGGTCATTGTGGTATACCAGTACATGCTATCAGCTCAATTAAGTAAGCATTGGGGTCTGCTATCAGTGCCAAGCTATATGTGCTTCGGGCCTACTATCAGCCATTGGCAATTAGTGCTTTGGTACTTGCTATCGGCGCCAAGAATCTGTGCATTATCTTGTATGGAGAAGGCCTATCTCAAAGGTTATTGTGCTTCAAAAAGTAGTTGCAGAGGTTGGAGTTGCCATGGCTCCCTTTCCCTTAGCAAGTGACCAAAGCAGCACCGTAATGAAAAATGGCGGTGCTAATGTAGGGTATGCCTTAGCAACTGGACCTCGACAAGTAGTACCTTAACAAGTTCCCT